TTATATATATATAATATATATATATATAATATATATATATATATATATATATATATATGGAGTTCACTGGAGCCGATCCTCCAGGAATTATTACATAGCTCAGTGGAGTAAACAGAGACAAATGTCTTTCCGCAATAGAAACATTATTTGGATTTGATATATTCTATGTCTGTCAGCAGTCCAAGTTATGTAAGTATGATATATGCCAAACGAATGCTGAGAATATTATTTTAGTAATGTTTTTCGGGCGATTTATATACCATCTTTATAACAAATAGAGATTCTTGAACGTTGTATCCCTAGGGGTGAACCTGCTCAATCAAGAACAAACGAATGTTCTTGACCTTGCTTTGGCAGGCCACAATGTTTTTTTTGGTTCCGGCGGTACGGGGAAAACATTAGTGAGTTTGGGAGACGCAACGCGAACGCGACGGCAACGTTGAATTTTGCGCGGTTGGACTGGATCGAGTTTAAGTTGACGTTGTCGCGTTTGCTGAAGTTCTGTTCACAAGGGCATTTACACTGTTTTGCCGTCCTCTCGAGAACGTCAAAATATTATGGCTACGGACAAGTAAGTTTGGCATATTGTTGCTATTTTTTCTTCTTAATTTCAGTGAGATGACCAATTTAAGTAGTGAAGACAGAAATAATCAGAAATTAACATTTATTTTGTAGAAAACCGATGAAATGGAGCGAAGCACACGACATGCATTTACTGCGCAAAATACTTGCTGAACGACCGTTCGAACACCCGAAAGGCTCTCGGCAAATTGGAACAGCATGGCAAAAAATTGTGGATAATCTTAACGGCAAGACCGAAGTTTCATTCAATCTCAAATCCATTAGAAGCGTACGCGACAGATACGGGCTGCTGGAAACAAAATACAAGAGGAACGTATCAAACGAACTAAGGGAAAGTGGCACGAACCCTGAATCAACTGAATTTGATATGGCAATGGAAGATATCATAGGCCAGTTTGAAAGTCAAGAAGAAACTGCTTGTAAGGCTAAAGAAGCCAAGGATGCTGCACGCTCGAAATATGCTAGGGAAGCTGAAGAGATAAGACAAACGGCTATGGAGACATTTCGTGAAACCAAAAAACGTGCAGAGGGGGGAATCGGAAAAGGTTCAGATGACGAAGATGGCAGTTCGTCATCAGACACGCTACGCTCAACTAAAAAGCGTAGAGGCAGTGTAGTGGATTACTTGCTCAAAACAACCGAGTGTAACAAGGAAATTAAAAAACAAGAGCTGGAAATGAAACAAATGGAGATCGAGATTCGTAGGGAAGAATTAGAACAGAAGAAGAGGGATGAAAGTATGCTTCAAGCATTAATAGCATTAGCTAAAAAAGACTGAACATGCACTATATAAATTGTATGTATTTTTTTTTTATTTGTTGCAAGGAGTATGCAGGCTATTTATCGATTGGAGAGACTAGAGTCTGTAATTCTTACATTTGTTCTGTTATTCTTTTGTATATCCAGGCATATTTTGTTCACTTGGTTTGCATACAAAACTGGTACTACAGATGTTATACTAGGTCAGAGATCCCAATTCCCTCTCAGACTTGCATGGGGAATTACTGTGTCGGGAATGCTGTTTGTTAGCCGACAATGAACTCAGCTTTGTTTAGACATGATTTATTACTCATAAAAAAATATAACAATACAAAAGAACTTTTTCAAAAACCTCACGTTCACACAACGTTTTGTTGAGCCTTCCTTTTTTGTCCCCTGATCAGCGGTAACTCTACTGTATTACTTAGTCTTATGTGCAGGAATATTCCCAACACTCTCCCCCTATTTGATTTGGAGAGATCAAATAATTATATGAACAACTACAACATCTTAAGTTATGAGTTCTATGGTTAACTTTCAAGTTCAAACTCGGCAACGTTCTTGATTAGCTTCTCGGCTTCTTGTGCGGCTTTCCGTTTTGGTCGGAACTCCCTGGCTTCTGCATTCAATTCAACTGCTGGTTTCTCCACTGGAGGATCATCACGTTCTAATTCCAATGGATACAGCTGTTGGACCACACGGTCGAGATATGGTTTTCCGGCTCGTAATCGTACAGCTCTAACGACACCATCTCGACCCTTAATAGGTTTAACAACAACACCTAGATTCCACTTGCCACGGTTTCGCTCGTCATTCTTAATAAGTACGACTTGACCAATTTTGATATTTGCCTTTTCCCCACCTCGTAGATCATGTCTTTATCTGAGACCTCGCAGGTATTCGTTGGTCCAACGGGACCATAAGGCGTCCTTGCATCGAGATAGGTACTTGGCTCGCTTTCTCAATGGATGATCTTCAATCTTGCTGGAATCTTCTTCCGGCAGATTATTAGGTTGTCCGAACATCATGGCATTTGGTGTTAAAGTCGGCAATTGGATATCATCGTCTTGGTAAGCTAAAGGTCAATTGTTCAATGTGACTTCCACATCCAGGATAATTTCTTCGAGTTCGTCCCATCTTAGATTTGCCCGACCGATCGTCTTATACAGCGCTCTTTTAACAAGTCCAACCATTCCAGCGCTCTCTCAACAAGTCCCACCAAGGGGCCTTGCTCAAGTTGAACTGCCACACGATTTGTTGATGGGCCAGGTAGTTTTGAAAACGTTCATCTTTCATTATCTTACGGATCCAATTTGCAGCCGAAACAAAAGTTTTACCATGTCCGAGTAAACTTTCCGCGGACGTCCTCTTCGTGCTATGGATCGCTTAAAACTGTTTATGAAATTCTCGGTAGTTTGGTCATGAAGTAATTCTAAATGAATAGAACGAGTTAGGCTGCAGGCGAAGAGCAAGATGTACGCTTTAAAAATCTTTCGTCTTATTGATCTTATAGATAAGGGGCCCAGCATAGTCGACACCAAGAACTTCGAAGGGAATTGATCCAACAGTTCTGTCGAGCGGCAGATTTCCAACTGGTGGATTATGATAGGCAGTTGCCTGGAAACGCGTGCACCCGTAACAGCCCGCAATCACTTTCTTTGTTGACTGGCGAAGTCTTGGTATCCAGTAACGCTGACGTAACCGGGTCATGGTTAACCCAACTCCCCCATGCAACGTTTCGACGTGAGCATCTTCAATCATTTTCTCACTGAGCAACGTGGCAAGCGGTACATAAATTGGATACAAGCCTTGGATTCTTCCGCGGCATTCAAATAGACCATTTACGTTTCTTTGAAGATTAAGTCTTAGCTGATCGTTCTTAAATTGTTCCGTTTCGATTTGTCTTTCGGTGAATTTCTTCACGAGCAACTCCACTTGAGTTTCGGTTTCAGTTGTTGTCAGCGGATCACTTTGTTTCCGAGTCTTGCCCAGCGTTGCCCTGAAGTTGTTTACAAATCTGGTTATCCAACCGAGGATACGAACAGATTTCCAGAAAGTGTGCTTTTGCAGCAGTTCATCCACTTCTTCTTTGACTTCTACAACTGCAGCAAACAAATTCTTGACCAACTTAACTTCAGATTCCGACTCTTTACCGGGTTGTGCAACTATGTCCTCAGGCCATTGATCGGGATAAGGCAGCCAATCTGGTCCATTCAACCATGACTCGGTCAGGTTATTTGGTAAACATCCACGGCCACCAAGGTCTGCAGGATTCTGGTGTTCCCGACATGCCTCCACTGAATGTAATCCTTGGCGTTCATTTTCTTCGTTCTATTCGCAACAACCTGTTTATAGTTGCCGTTTCCCTTTATCCAATAAAGGGCGGTAGTACTATCTAACCATGCAAAGACTGATGTAACTGGATAACTCAGCGCGTTCTTGACATTGTCGACGAGGGTTGCTGCCATGTGGGCTGATACAAGTTCTAATCGTGGGATAGTCAAATTCTTTTTTGCAAGTCTCGACTTCGCAGCTATTAAGCCTTGATTGACTCCCGATTGCTGGTGCACAACTGCGTACACGGCTGCACACGTACCGTCAGAACTAGTGTCACCGAACGCGTGGAGATGGACTGCTTCAATCAGTTCTTCAAAGGCTGTGATGTGTCAGCATAACCAGGATTAGGTATAGACAGGAGAACGCTTTTGGCAACCTTGCTTACTTGGGTTTTCATTTCAAACTTTCCTCTAACATCAGCCACAATCACATCATAGATCTCAATTCTCTGAATTGTCGATGACATCATCATATCAATATGCCGGTACTCAGTTCGTGAAAGCTGTTTCCTTAGAAGCTTTACCAAATCTGCAGAGATATACGAACTGCCAGCTCTTGTGTCCAAGAGGGCCCTGCATTTTATCCCATTGACAACCGCTACAACAACTGGATATATCACCCTCCCTTTACCAGTAGCCAACATCATTTGTTTAGTTGCACTTCCTTGGTCATCACAAATAGAGGTGTGATGTTTCGCATTACACCGAAAGCAAGTTGTTTTACTTCGACATTCGGATGCTCGATGTTTTACACCAGTGCAGTTGAAACATAGTTTTTTCTCTAACAAGATCTTCTTTCGAGATGTAATGTCCACAACTTGGTCGCAGTCTACGGACTTGTGTAGGGTTGACTCACAGAACACACACAGTCTTGGTTTCCATGATTCCTGCTTGGCATGTAAGAACTTTCCAGATTTTTGTTGATAATGGCTGGTACCCTTGTGATCTGACTTACGGTCTTCTTCTGATATGGGGTTCCTCACACACCATTTTCGCAGTGCTTCGACCGTCTCACCAAATCCCCAATCTTGCCAATTGTCATCTGATCGTACCAAGTCTGCCCGTATGCCTGGTAATTTATCCAGCGTGCTTCGTGCAAACCCCTTTACTTCGTTCAGCTTCCCCATGGTTTCTAATGCTTGTGTATTTGCAACCAGTGTTTCAAAGAAACGATTGATTTTCCTTGCATCGGACCCAGATATGGTTGGTAAGGAAATAATGCTCTGCATATGGGCATTTGCAACTTCACTTTCTTTCCCATACCGCGTCTTTAGGATAGTTTTCGCTCTTTCATACCCTTCGGTAGAAAAGGGCAGACCATCAATGAATGCACGGACCTTAGGAATAAGCAACTCTTTGAGGTAGGACAGCTTGGTAATGGGGCTGATCTCTGCCTTGTCAATTTCTTTTTCAAATTGCCCCCAGAATCTCTGCCAATCCAAGTGAGTTCCTTGGAATTTAGATATTACTAACTTGGGCAGCTTGGCAGAATTGCATTGGCTTGCAGACTTCATTTTAACTTCCTCTAATCCCCTTTCAAACTTCCGTTTCATTTCTAGTTTAGCTCCCTCGAGTGCCATCTCTTCCTCATAACGTTTCCTACGCTTTTCTTCTTCAATTCCTCCATCCTTATCCTCAGCTTTCTGGAGTTCAATTTCGCGCAGTTTCTCACTCTGTTGTTTCATTTCACTGATAACATTTTCAAACTCAAGTACAGTTTGTTCTAAGTCACGGCTCCATGTTCTAACTTATGTGAGGTCATCCCACTGAGCTATATAATAATTCCTGGAGGACCGGCTCCTAATGTTTTTTTCTCAAAAAGTTAAGCAAGAAACATGGCGGATTTTTCGTGCTGACGCCAGATATGGTCCCACTGGGCAATGGTATTGACCACTGACCAACCGCGATCCAAGCCAACAGACGTTTTTCTTCACCCTCCGGTTTTTTGCAAAAAATTCCCGCCTTGAACAGTTTTTCAAAGTGTTTACACGCATTTAAAACGTTAACCAAGGTTTTTGAAAATTTTTCATAAATATGCCGCGTTTTTGTTCAGCTTTTGGATGCCGTAACCGACTGTCAAAGGAAAATATTTCTTCCCATCGGTAAGAATCTTCAGATTTACATTTCAAATAAAATATTTAAATGTGTTTTAAAAAATGCGATATAATTCTTAGGTTTTTACAAGACTGCATTAACTCACGACAGCAAAACAGCGGAACATTAAAAATAGGCTTGGAGTTATTTCGGATTAAAGCGCTATAAATATAGTTTTTAAAAATTTCATATTCTTTTATATTTTACGTATTGTATTTCTGTATATTTTAGATATTGTATTTCTGTATTTGCATATTTTAATTATATTTCGAAGTCACGAAAGACGCCATCACGTTCAACACGTCGCCGTGTAATTGCAATAGTTTAGGTAGCCTATAAATGTAAGCGCCCTGATTTTACTCTTGAACTGAAGCTTGCTATAATAGGTTTGCAGACGATGTATTAATTTAAGTCAGGGTCAAGTACGGTCAAGAGTATAATCCTCATTTAATCTTTCTAACATTCACTTGTATGCACACAGTTAATGGATTTGGTTCATTTGAACACCAGCATTTAAATACTAATTATTGCACTGCATAGATTTTCTAATATCTTAGATCATTAGTACATTGTTATTATATAGCTTTCCAGATATGAAAATTTATCCTGAGATACGTGCTATGTGGGTTAAAAATGTAAATAAGAACTCCCCAGTCCAGTTTGTACCTACAAAGGGAAGCCGATTATGCTCAGAACATTTTGCAGTGGAGACGAAACAGCAGACTGGAAGCAGAGTGATATTGAAGCAAAATGCTATCCCAACTATATATCAAAAATCTCAGGTCAATACCAAATATTGTTAGTACAAGATATAGTAATTATTTGCAGTAAATAGTTTGAATATGGTTAGATGCATGCCACTGGATGTGACAATATGAACATGGTATATACAGCCTGAGGGTCATTTTAGTATATTTGTCTCATTAAATTGGCTATATTGTTGAAATTATTAGGGATAAACAATGTAGCTGTAAATGTAATGTTTGAGAAAAAAGGTTTATTACAAAGAGTAAAATTGGTAAATGAGGTGAGTGAAGGAGCATTAGGTTTGGAGGTCAGAAATGCAATTGGAAACAAGGAAATTGAATATATGAGGGATGGCTCTGGGGCAATCACAATTGAAGACAGTGTAAGTATGGAATACAACGTAGGTAATGAAGACAGTTTAGGTATTGAGGGGGTCACTGAAGAAATTTCTAGTAGTAATGAAGGTGTAAGTATACTCGGAAGGAAAAGAAAACTTGAGGATGAAGTGATTTTGGATGAGGTAAGCACTGCTCTGAAAAAGGCTCATATTACTAGAACATCTGGAGCAGCGAATCATGATCACACATATCACATCAGTAAATCTCGTTGTAGTTTGAAACAACAAGTCGATGATGTTGTCAGCAAATTGACAAAGTTGCAGAAGAGGTATAAAGTATCCGAACAAAAGACTCGGCGTCTGAAGAGAAAGGTTGTGACTCTGAGTTCAGTGGTAAGTGAGTTAAAAAAGAAGAGTCTTATAAATAGTGATTGTGCCTCAATCTTGGAAACAACCTTTTCCGGAGTTCCAAAGGAACTGATGAAAAGGTTGGTGTCGCAAAAGAAAAAGAAAAATCCTGGCGCGTATCTACCTGAGCTAAGGTCATTTGCTCTGACCTTAAAGTTTTATTCAACGAAGGCATATACAATTATGTTCGGAAAAGTTTCAAGCTAGGGCTGCCACACGTATCTGTGATCCGATCGTGGTATATACGTCGATGGATGGTGAACCCGGTTTCACGAAAGATGCTTTAACAGCTTTGAAAGCTAAGGTCCTTGCTGCAAGAAGAGATGGTGAAGAAGTTGTTTGGGCTCTCACCTTGGATGAGATGTCTATACGAAAACACGTCGAGTGGGATAGCAAGAGAATGCGTGGTTATGTCGACCTCGGAACGGGCATTAAAGACGACTCTCTACCTGAAGCTACCGATGCTCTTGTGTACATGGCCGTTTGCGCAAACTCAAGTTGGAAATTACCCTGTGGATATTTTCTGGTGAATGGGCTGACTGGTGAAGAGAAGGCCAACTTAACGAAAGAATGCATTCGGAAATTGCACGAAGTCGGGGTGAAGGTGATTTCTTTCACATGCGACGGTCCATCGACCCACCAGGCGATGTTAAAGGAGCTCGGCGCAATTCTTACACCTGATAGCCTGCAGGCGTCTTCTTGGTTTTCTTATTTGCTTCAAAGCAGTTTTGGGATTGGCCGACGATCTGGTTATGCCGGAGAAACCGGTTCTGAAGTACCTTCTGACGTACAAGATGAGTCAAGATCACTTGGAGTTGTTCTTCGGTGCTGTGCGAGCATGCGGAGGATGGAATAACAATCCAACCACATGGCAGTTTGTAGCCGCGTACAAGCAACTGTTGATGAGGCACAATATTAAAGGAGGTCATGGAAACTGCGTTGCTCTAGATGACACTCAGATATTAGACTGCATCAAAGCTCAGTGTGAAATTGAACAAACGCCAACTGGGATCTCAGACGTAGCGATTGCAATACGACCTGGAGTTGAGAGAGCCAGCTGCCGTCGATCATGACTACTGTGATGTGCCTAATGCCATTGAACTGTCTGAGTACAAGAAGGCTGCAATATCGTATATTGCTGGACGAAGCGAAGTGATACGTCTCGAAGATGGTGACGAAAAAGATCCATTGCACCCAATGTACAACGGTGCTGACGACGACGGAAGAGAACATACCGGACGTGTTCGTAACATGGAAAACGAATGGAGGTTTGAAGCTACCGTCACATGGACTGATTAAGATTTGTGAAGAAACGGAGAAGTGCGTTATGAGAATGCTGAATGATGTGAAACATGTGTGAAGAACGGGGTCTTTAGCACGTTAGACCAACACATGTTTGACTTAAGTGCAGTGGACAACCACTTGTTCACTCTGATAAAGTGCTGTTCTCAGAGTTATGTCACGATTCGAATGCATTATTTATGTAAGTTAAAAAATGCAAGTACGCATGAGAAGGTAATACGTAAGCAGTTTTCAAAGCTTGTGTTATTCAAACACCAGTAGAGTTGACACGTGACCTGGGCACAGCAGTGTGCTTTCGAGGTTTGCCTGTATGCCTGTGGATGGAATGTCAATATATAACTTGCATGAATTTAACCTTTTCATTTTTTTATGACGCAAAATCATTTGAGATTCCTTCATTTTCCTTTACATCTTTTAAATTTTTTTTTTAATCTTTACAAAGTTAAGCAAACCTTTGACTATAAAGACAAAAGTTGCTTATATTTGTAAACAATATTATTTATATCTGCAGCCTTGTTTCTAATGTTTCAGTTATAGACATTGCATTTTCGAAAGGTTGAGCGTATCCTGGCACAATCATTTGTGTTTCTAGGAAGTGTGCATTGTTGAGAATGCATTGTCAACGTAACCTGCACATTTTAGATGTGTCTAGGGGTTGATAGAAATAATGTGTATGTACGGTGTTTGAAAACTGGACAAACAAATTATATATTTTAAATTTAATGATGTCCCTAGAGGTAATATTACATTTTTGTTTTCTAACTATTTTTTTTAAATGTTTTATCCAGTTCTAGTGCCATTAATTGTGTGCTTTTAATCCATATCTGTTAGTTTAAGAGAAAATGGAAAGATTTCACTGCAACCATGAATAATAAATTAAGAATTAAATTATAATTTTGTAAAATATATTGTAATATACTAATTATGTCTTATATTTATATATGTATGATGTAAACTTGTTGTTAAAATCTTATGGGCCTATCACGGGGCGAAAAGTTAGGTTTGCGAACTTGTAAATCTAATCGCAAATCTGCGACAAAACTTAATTTTGACCATAGTTTGCCAGATTTGCACGCGTGTAAACGTTTAGTTTGCACTCGCATGTAAAACAGTTGCAAAGTTGGCATCCGCTGCGATTGCATATGGTGCAAACATATTGCAAACCCAGTAACTTTACCAGATTTGCAATGGGTTTGCTTCGCGTGTAAACGCATAGCAAACATTAAATTTGCTATAGATTTGCTTCGCGTGCAAAACCATAGCCCAAACGTTAAATTTGCATTATTGTTTGCCTCGCGTGTAATTGTGCTGCAAATAATGATTTTGCATGGATTTCCACAGCGTGTAAACCTCTTGCAAGCATAATAAGTTTGCAACAGATTTGTGTCGTGTGTGAATTTAAAGCAAATAATACATCCAACCACAGTTTTGCGTTTCTTGCAAATGCGTGGCAAAGCTATATTGAATTTGCAGTACATTTGCATCACTGTAAACTGGGAACAAAATAAACAAATGACAAATAATTTCCTTTGTAAACTATGTATTTAGTATGCATTACTTTACAAATACAATTCTACGATTGTAATCAATGAAAACACAAATTCCTTTAAAAAATGTTATCAAAGCGACAGAAATTCAAGACTCTACAGTAAGATTAAACAATCAGTCTTATAATCTCTCTAACTCTATATATTTGTTCATATAATACCTTGTATATAGCAGCTTTGCCGAAAACAAAGGATTTACAGAGACCTATTTGAAAACAACGCGTTAGGCAAGCCTGAGTTAAGGCTGTTT